CATATATGTACACACAGGCAGAACACCAATACACATAAAAGTAAAAGATTTTTTTAAGAAAAGAATTATGAAAACAATGAAAAAGCAGAACACCAGAAAAACCTGTTAACTTTAGAAGGACAGAGAAAAATTTAGAGTAATTCAGACCAAACAGTGTTTTTGGTGGTGGGGTTTTTGCTTGTTTTTTTGTGTAGCCTTGGCTGTCCTGGAACTCACTCTATAGACCAGGCTGACCTTGAACTCAGAGATCCACCTGCTTCTGCCTCCCCCAGTGCTGGGATTAAGGGCGTGGCCAAACAGTTTCTAGAAAGCTCCAGCTCTCTAAACCCTCTTGGTAGTGATGGTGCATGGATCAGTTACTACGTGTCAGTCTGTCAAACCATTAGACACAAACTGCCACAGGTCTTAGTGCAGAGGGCCCGTGAAGGAGTCAGATGAGTTCAAAAAGTATCCGTTGCTTTTGGATGCCTGCAAGAAGCCCCAATTACCTGGCTTGGCTTGTCACCTACAAGAAACGCCCCCCCCCCCAAAACAACTGGTTTGCCTCTATCTGCCAGAGCGCCACCTGACCCCAAGTTCTAAGTAGTAAAAAAACCTTGCCCAGAAGTAGTTTTTCCATTCCTACTTGGAAGGCCTGTGATGCCTGATGTCATATGAGTACAGACTAGATGTCACAATGTCACCCACCAACTCTGGTTGTCAAAGAGTCCGTGACAGAATAAACCGCAGTTTCCAGCTTCTTGTTAAGTGGTTGTGAGCAAATTCAAGTGTGGTCCCTCCTTATGAGGCTGGACCTGTCATGCGATGGAAAGGTGGCCTGAGAGGGCCTTGTTCCTCCCTCCCCAGCAAGTATACTGTCTCCTTCCGCAGGTAGTGGGGCCCCTTTTGATCTGGGTAGATGAGTGATCAGCGGTACGCTGCCGTCTTTTTCCCTAGCACACACGTGATAAACACCATGAGCTGATAACCACCACGAGCAAAACCAACTTGGTGAGGAAAGGGCTCATTTCATTTTACAGCTTGTAATCCATCACGCAGGGAAGTAAGTGGGTGTTCAGGCAGGAACCTGGAGGCAGGAACTGAAGCAGAGGCCGCGGAGTGATGCTGCTTATTGGCTTGCTCCCCATAGTTTACTTGCTTGCCGCTTCATACAACCCAGGCCCACTTGCCTAAGAGTGACATTGTCACAGGGGGCTGTGCCCTGCCATAGCTGTCCTTAATCAAGGAAGTGCTCTAGGGTCTTGTGTACCAGCCAAAACGATGGAGGCATTTTCTCGACCACTGTTCCTCTTCCTTGATGACTCTAGAGTGTGTCAAGATGACCAAACCTAATGTGCGTGTGTGTGTGTGTGTGTGTGTGTGTGTGTAAAATTTGCCTACTGAGACAAGTTCTTGCTACACAGCCCAGGCTTGCCTCAGTCTTCTCTTCTGAGTGCTGGATTGTAAGTACGTGTCACTGTGCCCGTTCTATGACATTTATTTTTCTTTTGAGACAGGATCTTATTAAATTATTCAGACTTGATTCCAACTTAGAATCCTCCCACTCACTTTCTGGGTGCCCAGGTGCTGAGGTTCCAGGCATGTATCACTACAGTCTACATAGTGCTGATGAGTGACCCCCAGACTTTGTACGTTCTAGGCAAGCGTTCTACCAACTGCCTGCATGCCAAGGCATCTCTAGGGACATTTGTTTTTTTGTCTGCTTTGTTTTCCAAGACAGGGTTCTCTGTGTCGCCTTGTCTTAGAACTCACTCTGTAGACCAGGCTGGCTTGAACTCACAAAGATCTGCCTACCTCTGCCTCCCAAATGCTGGGATTAAAGACATGTGCCACCACTGTTTGACAACATTTGTGTGTCTAAAACATATACTAGGACAAGACGCAGTGGTGCACACTTTTAATCTCAGCACTCAGGAGGCAGAGTTTTTGTGAGTCGATGCCAGCCTGGTCTGTATATTGAAATCCAAGATAGTCGGGGTTATGGAGAAAGACCCTGTCTCAAAGAAGAACGAGGAGAAGAAAAAGTAAACAAACAAACAAACAAAAAACCCACAAACCAACCCCACATATACTAAGCTAGGTAGTTTAGTGTATGTGTAATCCTAACAGCCCAGGAGGCTGAGGCAGGAGGTTAGTAGAGTAACTTAGCAAGACCCCGAAAGGCTGAGGGTCCCAGTAAGCAGCAGAGCTCCTGCCTAGCTCACATGAAGCCTTTGGTTCACTTTTCAGTACTGAAAACAAATCAAAACCTTAAAGCCAAGTGACTCACTCCATTGCTAGAGATTATCCCTGTGTGTGTGTGTGTGTGTGTGTGTGTGTGTGTGTGTGTGTGTGTGTGTTAGTGGCTATCCTTTAAAGTCCCTTTATAAGAACAGTACTGTGGCCAGGCAGTGGCAGCACATGCCTTTAATTCCAGCACTCGGGAGGCAGAGGCAGGTGGATCTCTGTGAGTTTGAGGCCAGCCTAGTCTACAAGAGCTAGTTCCAGGACAGGCTCCAAAGCTACAGAGAAACCCTGTCTTGAAAAACAAACAAACAAACAAACAAACAAAACAGTACTGTGACAGATTGGGGAGCATATTGAAAGGTTTTCATTTGAAAAACTGAAGGGGCTTGCTATTGGCTGCGAGATAGGCCAGCAGCTGTCCTCTGAGTCCACATTCGTGTCCTTAGTGAGTCTTATTTTCTTCCTGAGTACCTTTTTCTCCAAACCCTAGTGTTTAAAAACCGTATTGACCTCTCAGGCTAGAGTAAGCAAGCACTCTCTGGATTTAAAGCCCATTCCATAGGAAGGACCCAATGTACGACACTGCCCAGATGATAAAAGACCTGAAACTGGATAGGCCATGGGCCTCGGGGGAACACAGCAATAAGATGACTCCTAAGAACATCCTGCTATATGCATAGGTCAGGACCTCGCTCAGTCATCATCTGAGAGGGACTCAGGTCAGGGTCTTGCTCAGCCACATCGAAGAAGCTGCCTTCTGCAAACTAAGACAGAGACCCACAACTGGACAGAGTGCAGCCTGAGAGACTTGGGAGCATTGTCCTAGGTGGAATGTCCACATCAAATCCCTCCCTTCAGGGCTCAGGGAGCTGTGCAGAAAAGAACGTGGGAAGACTGTGAGAGCCAGGGGAAGGGATGACTCTGAGGAATCAGTGTCTTCCAGACCCAGCAGGACTGGTGCCCAGAGGTGCTCACAGAGACTGGCAGCATGCACAGGACTGCTTAGGTTCAAGCCAGACTGGGTTCCAACACTGAGAAGGGAAAGTCTGGGGCTCCCACCCCTAATCAGGAAGGTATCTTCACTTGACACCCGCTTGCAAAGGAAAAATTGTTTTCTCCACTGGAGTCTAACTGGGAAAGCAAAGCACACTTAGGAGCAGGCAGCATGTCCAGCAGTAGACGCCAAAACAAAAGGAGCTCAACGGTATTTTTGTGGACTCTCTGTCTCGTGTTACTTCGTTTGGGCATTGTTTATCTTACTGTTCCTTTGCTTGTGTATTTTGGTTCCTAGTTTTTGGGTTTTGTGAGGTTTATTTGTGTGTGTGAGTTTCTTGATTTTCTTTGTTTGGTAGGTTGACTGGGTTTTTTGTTGGTTTGTTTGTTTGCTTGATTGTATTTTTAAGGAGAGAAAGAAAGGGTATAGAATTGGATGGTTGTGGAGGTGAGAGGATCTGAGGCAGTTAGGGAAGGGAAAAAAGTGTGGCAGATTACATTGCATGAAAAAAATTCCAATTGAAAAAAAAAGAAAAAGGGGCTGGAGAGATGGCTTAGCAGTTAAGAACACTGGCTACTCTTCCAGAGGACCCAGGTTCAATTCCTAGCACTCACATGGCAGCTCACAACTGCCTGTAACTCCAGTTCCAGGGGATCTGACACCTTCACAGCAATGCACATAAAATAAATTAAATAAATTATTTTAAAAAACCTCTCAGGCTAGAGCAATGTCTCAGCGGGTGAAGACAATTGTTACTAAGCCTGTCTAGCTGGTTCGCATGCCTGGGAGCCTCTGGTGGAAGGAGAGAACAACGCTGCTCTCTGACTTCTGAAAGTTCAGAAGCACCATCCCCAAATAAACGTAACAAAAAAAAAAATTAAATCTATATTGAAATATCTTAATATACTTTAACTCTACTCCAAAGAAAAAAAATACATTAATTTTGTTTGTCGGGCCAACTATGTGATCCTACTTCTATCTCTCTCAGAATAACAGTTTGTCCTGTGTACGGTATAGATCTTATGCCTAACAGGTAAGTCTTTGGGGTTAGTGGCCACACTGTTATGTAGACAGGGTCTAAACCATCTTCAGAAAGAGCATTAGGGAGGGGCAGCCTGCCCGGCATGCAGCATAAGTTTTGGCTCCAGAAATGAGATGCTGCAACTGCGGGATGGGGGAGTTATCACACACAATCTTCTGCCGCCAACAAATGGGAGTCCCTGTCTCTCAGCACCGTGCTTCAGGACCACCCTGATCAGCAGCAGAGTGCCACCATAGAACTCTCCCATAAACAAGAGCATGCAAGCGGGTGTGTGGAGACACCTGACTGCAGGGCTTGCCGAGGCCACTAGTGACCGTTACAGATCCCCTCCTGCCCCCCACGAGATGTGAAAGCAAGACTGTTCGCTTATTCAAGATGATGAGAGGTGGCGTGCAGCAGGGGCCTAGGGGCACACACCCTGGCGGTGGCTTGGGATCTGACACTGAGACTCCCATTCATAGGTTGTCTATTTGGAGTCAGAGACAATTGGGATTAGTAGTTTAGTTGGTACATGGAGCTGATTTGACAGATGAGTATCTATGCCAGCCCCTTACGTCCTGTGGCAACTCAGCGAGAGAAACAGAGGACAGATAAGACCGCTAGGTGAACTAATTTAGTGATACCCAAGAAATGGATTGATCTTGTTGATTGCTTATTTGTTTTTTTATTTATTTGGGTTGTTTTGAGACAGGATTTCTCTGTGCAGCCCTGGACGTCCTGGAACTAGCTCTGTTGACCAGGCTGGTCTTGAACTAGAGATCTGCCTACCTCTGTCTCCTGAGTGCTGGGATTAAAGGCGTGCGCCACCACGCACAGACAAGAAACATCTTCAGAATCCACAGAGCTTCTTGTGTTCCACCTGTACGTCAGCACTGCGCGTTTTTTCCACATTTCCAAAGGTAGTATCTCTCTCATGGCAATGGGTCCTCATGATCTGCATCTCCCAGGCTTCTCCAGAATTCCCGACAGAAGCCCTTAGCTCCCAACAAATTGAACAGACTGATCCTGTTTGACAAAGAGAAAATTTCAACTTGGAAATGTCATTTGCCTCTGTCCTACTGTCGCTGGATGACCTAGCTAAGAATAAAAATCTAACGTTTAGCTTTCTAAAACTGGCCATAGAGGTATACTCCTGGGATACCCCACTCCCGAACTCAGGAAGTAGAGACAGGAGATTCACAGGTTCAAGGTCATTTTCAAGTTCAAGACCAGCCTTAGCATGTTGAGAACCTATCTCAAGTAAATGGAAACTAGGCAGCCATTTTTTTAGTTTTCCTCTGTAGTTTCACAGTGTCTGACAGGCACCAACACCACCAATAAAGACATGTAGACAATGACTTCTTGAGTCCTTACAGGGGATTCCAAATATTGCTGGTTAAAAACATGGATTCCCACATGGAACACCACGCATTTGAGGCCATCATGTGGAGAGAGGACCACACTTCTCTCAAAGCTTATTATATTATAACCAGACCATAAGAACACAAAAATTGAAAATTACTATAGTTACTTTTTCCATGTGGAGCTGCCTGCCTTTAATCCTAGCAGTCAGGAGGCAGAAACAGGCAGATGTCTGTGAGTTTGAGGCCAGCCTGGTCTACAAAGTGAGTTCTGGGACAATCAGGGCTATACAGTGAGATCCTGTTTCAAACAAAGCAAAACAAACAAACAAAAACATGCTATTTGATTTTTATACACCCTTGTAGTTACTGAAGTCTGGTTGTCTTCACACTATCTAGTATTACGTAGTATGACAGAGATACAGAACTTCAAGGTAGACAACAATCCAGTGTTTGTGTTTTGTCTTAGAAACAGGCTCTGACTTCATTGTGCAGGAAGCCTCAGACTCCTGAGCTGCTGTTATCCGTCAGCTCAGCCCTGCAGCCCCCACTCCCTAGTCCCTGCTGAGCAGACATCACCAGCACATGCAGAAGACAAGGCTGGAGTTTTCCAAACAACCTCAGCATAGGCAGCCAGTCACCCTCCTGTCTACCAGAGTCTGAGATGTTTCACAGCGGGAGGCCCGGAGAGGCAGCCCAGCGGCAGAAAGCTTTCTGCCCTGGCAGAGGGCTAGGGTTCTAGTCCCGGCACCACGTGGTGACCTACAAACACCGATTCCAGGCAATCTCATGCTTTTTGATGACCTTCTTGGCCTTCTATACGCACATGCCATGCAAACATAGCCTTGGGCACACACACATGTGCGCACGCATGTGCCCCCACACACAAATATACAAGAAGAAAGAGAGCAAGAGAGGGCTCCAGAGAGATAAAGTGCTTGACACACAGGCCTGATGTGAGTGCTGTCCCTGGAACCCAAATAGGAATGGGAAGACTGAATGGTCCCCACCAAGTTTTCCTTTGACATGGCCACATAGACACCACATGCAATAATAATAAAATTAATTAAAACAATTATAAATTAATAATAATTATATACAATTATAGAAATTATCATATAAATTATAAAATTGTATGTTTATATAATAAATTATATAAATTAGTATATAAATTATAAAACAATAATAAAATTAATTTTAAAAAACCCACAGAGTTGAACATTGTGGTCCCTGTCCCAGTATTCAGGAAGTGGAGGCAGGAGGATCAGAGTTGAGTTCAAAGCCAGATTTGGCTACGGAGGGCATTCAAGGCCAATCTGGGACACGTGAGACCTTTATAGGCTCATTTCAGTCAGGCGACAAAGCTTCCAGAGCCCAAAGTGTGCAGGTTCCATTTCCAGGGGGCAATATTACCCTGCAAAGGAAAATACACTGTACCTCCAGGGCCTTCAAGGACAGGAAGAGTGAAAACCAGCCAAATCCCAAAGCGGCAAGAACAAGCAATAAGGAATGAAATAGATCCCGTCTATCATCAGCTCTGTGTTGGACCGTCTTCCTGAAAGTACTGCAGAGTAAGAACACACATGTAATAAGTCTTATTTACTTACTTATTTGAAGCAGAGTCTCATTGTGTACCCCAGGCTGGCCTAGCATTCACTATGTTGCTCTGGCTCTGCCTTGATTTCAGAGATCCACTTGCCTGTTTCTGTCTGTCTGTCTATCTTTCTATCAATCATCTATCCAGTCATCTATTCACCAATCTTTTGTATACCTACTGATATCTATCAATTTCTATTCTATACATATGTATCTATTATCTATCTATCTATCTGTCTATCTATCTATCTATCTACCTATCTATTATCTATCTATTATCTATCTATCTATCTATCTATCTATCTATCTATCTATCTATCTATCAATCAATCATCTATCTATCTATGGTTCCAGCCATGCCTCCATCTTTCTGAGATACACACTTCTGGGGAATTGATAGTCTCTTTCTTTTCTTAGTCCACACAGAACTTTCAAGTATGCTTCTTAAAATGTTTGGACTGTTACCTGTGCCATAGTCAAGTCTGAAATCACGGTGCTGAGTATTCCTGATGTATAGATATTGTAACTACTAAGGAAAGCTTTGCCAACTACTGGCCTTTACATTGGTACTGAGGGTTAAGTAAATGATTTGCTTTGGGCTGCATCAGATTCTGTCTGGAAAAGCAAAACAAGGTGGCTAGTGGAGAGAGGCTCACAAGGTCCCACTCTCCCTGAGGATCTTCAGACAGCTGATGGTTGCTAGGTGAGTTGTGTATGTCTTTGATACTCACAGGACCCTGGATGGGAGACTCTGGCGGTGGAATCCAACAGGTGCTATTGTTATATACTCATAGGCAAATACTATAGCAAAGAGTGTAAGAGTTTGCTGATGTTGTGTCCCCTAGTAATGTCAGAAGCTACACCTGTAAAGTCTCACCAGCATGGCCACTGAGACAGGAGCTAAACAAGGATGACACCAATGGACACGCCAGACTGAAAAAAGAAAAGGCCATGAGGCCTCAACTCTACACAGAGAACTATAGACATTCGAGAAGCACTGGGAGCAGGAGAGACGGTCCTCCTGGAGACAGAGAACACCAATCGGTGGTCCTCCAGGAGATAGAACACACCAATCAGTAGTCCTATCCTATCGCCAGCCAGCTCTGAGCACACATACAAGTATAATTACATAGACTCAACAGGTTATGTGTAGGAAGATATATGTATATACTTATACATATATACTTGCAACAACAAATAGCCAGAAAAGAGGCCATGAATTCGAAAGAGAGAGGAAAGGAACCTAGGGAGGGTTTGGAGGAGAAATATAATTAAATTATAATCTCAAAAAAAAGTTATATAACAAGTTGATCACTTGCTTTTCAAATTTGATTCCTAAAATTAACTTGGGAAGATGATAAGAGTATCAAGACGAAACTGGCAAGATTAGTGACACTGACCACCACCTGCAGAGGGCTGGAGTTGGGTCCCCAGGGAGAGCCTTCCTGAGGGTTCTCAGACTGTCATGAACCCAAACGGAAGGGGAAATTTTGGTGTGTCATCTAGAAACCAAGCTGCCCTGTATTTCATTTGTTTGCTTCTTGACGTCTTTTCCTGGGGTGGAAGTTCTTCTGATTAAAGAAAACAGGGCCCAGCAAGCTAGACAAGTGTTCTACTACTGAGATAAAGATGCTAAACTGTGAGGAGTAAACAGAGAAAGGTAAGGGGAAGAAATGAAAGAGAGAGAAATGAAAGGTAAGACGAAGAAATGCTGAAAAGAGAAGACAAGGGACGGCTCAGAGGTAAAGGGCACTGGCTGCTCTTCTAGAGGACTCAGGTTCGATTCCCAGCACCCACGTGGCAGCTCACAACTGTCTGTAACTCCAGTTCCAGGGGATCTGACACCCTCACACAGATATACATGAAGGCAAAATACCAATGCACATAAAATAGGAATAAATGAATCATTTAAAAATGTTTTTTTAAAAAAGAGAAAACAGAAGGAAAGAGCGGGCAGAGAAAAGGGAAGGAGGGAGAGATGGAAAGGGAAGAAAGCAAAACGAGAGAGAAAGTGTTTTGAACAACAGTCAATGAGGAGACAAAGGGACAAGGAGAGCGCAGATGGTTACTGAAAGAGTAAGAGACTTCACAAACGTTCAGGAGTAGCTGCACCAGTACCCTGTTACCACCAGAGCATTGTTTTAGTGCTGAGACGGAACCCAGGTTTGACCTCTAACCCAAAAGTCTGTTTGTTTTTTGCTTTTATTTTGCATATGGGGAGACACCAGGAGTTTGGATCCAGGGCCTGATCACCTACTTCCTATGAATATCTTTAGCCTATAGTGGTATTTTCTTAGGAAAGTCTGAACACTGGAAAGGTCCAAGGGCTTGGGAAGACAGGGGAATGACTCAGGGCTTGCTACACAAACCTGAAGAACTGAGTTTGGATCCCCAGCACCCACGTGAAGAAGACTGAGGGACAGCAAGCCTGGCATCCAGCACTAGAAGGCTGAGGCAGGAGGATTCAAACTAAAATGGGTGAGCTGCAGGTTACTGTGAGATCCTGTCTAAAAAAGATACTTTGAAAAGTAATAGAAGGGACTAGAGAGATGGCTCAGAGGTTAAGAACATTGACTCTTTTTCCAGAGGTCCTGAGTTCAATTCCCAGTAACCACATGATGGCTCACAACCATCTATTATGAGATCTGGAGTCCTCTTCTGTCATACAGACAGAACATTGTATACATAATAAATAAATAAAATCTTTAATTATAGATTTTAGAATCTATAATTATAGAATACATAATAAATAAATAAAATCTTTAATTAGTAGAAGACTCCCAACATTGACCTCTGACCTCCACACATGCCTGAACACACATGTTCACATCACACACATGCATGCATTTTTCTTCTGTTTTTAAAAGTTCACACAGAAGCCGGGTAATGATGATGCACACCTTTGATCCTGGCACTCAGGAGACAGAATCAGGTGGATCTCTGTGAGTTTGAGGCCAGCCTGGTCTACAAGAGCTAGCTCCAGGACAGGTTCCAAAGCCAAAGAAAAACCTTGTTTCTAAAATCTAAAGAAAAAGAAAAAAAAGAAAAAAAAAGAAAGGGCTAAATTAACACAAGTAAATAAAACTTTCTATGACTCCTATGAAAGTCACACCCCTCCTTTGAGACAAGGTCTCACTATGTAGCCCTGACCTTCCTGGCATTGACCAGGCTGGTTGTGAACTCTGACACCATGCAGAGCACTGTTAAACTTTTTAAAAATGAGGAATTAAAAAAAAAAAACCCAGGAAGAACAAAAGTAGTATATAATTTTGTTTCTTCGATCTTGCCAAGATACAAAAAAAAAAAAAAAAAAAAAAACCCTAAAAAACAAAGAAAACAAACAAACCAAAAAACCATAGCAGTTCATAAAAACTAAAGGGCCGGGCATGGCTTAGTGTGTAGGGTGCTTGCCTAACAAGGATGAGGCTCTGGCTTTGATTTGCAGCAGCAAATTAAACTAGGAGCCCGTAAAACAGCAGCAGGAGGCTCAGAAGCTCAGCCTAAGCTTTGCTAAGTAGTGAGTTGTTGATACTGTTGTAATTTAAAAACTGCGAAGAAAAGACGCGCTTTGCAACAAGGCTCACAGAGGAGGAAGAGAAGAGAGAAGGGGGCAGAGAGGAGGGCAGAGGCCAGCCTGGGGACAAGAGTGGTGGAAGAGAGGGAGAGAGAGAGAGAGAGAGAGAGAAGAGGGCAGGTCCACCTTTTAAAAGGGAACATAGCAAATGTGCACAAAGGGTACCCTTAGTGGCTGCAGCTGAGGACATATCCTGTCAGGACCCCAAGGGCAGGCCAGTACATATGCCTGAATATTAACAGACACACAGAAAGTTCAAGGTCAGTCCTGGGATACAAGAGACCTTGTCTCAAAAACAGAAAAAAGAAAAAAACAAAAGCAAAAACCATCAAAGGACACAGAGGTAGAATGCTTGTGTAGTAGCGATTTAATTATACAAAGCGGCCTTGAGTTCCAGAAGACTGTTTGAAAATCATATACAACTCACAGAAGCAGGCAGATCTCTGGGTGGTTGAGAGTAGCATTGTCTATATAGTGAGTTCCAGGCCCGAAATAAATCATAGTGACGGTGTGTATTAATCAATCAATCAATAAAAAAAAATATTTAAATAGGAATCATGTACGGCCAGTTCTAGTGGTGTACACTTTTAATCCCAGCACTCAGGAGGCAGAGGCAGGCGGATCTCTGTTGAGTCTGAGGTCAGCCTGGTCTACAAAGGGCGTTCCAGGACAGCCAGGGCAACACAGAAAAACCCTGTCTCGAAAACAACCTTTACCACTCTTTAATACAAAATATTGGTAGTGAGGAACAGAAAACACAGATCATTAAAAGTCCATTTTTTACGTGTATTCATCTTCAGAGGGCTTGTCTGGCATGCATTGAGAAGCCCTGGATTTATCACTGCAGAGCCAGGTGTAGTGACAAATGCCAGCATCCCAGAGTTTGAGAATCAGAGGCAGAGGATTGGGAGTCCAGAGCCATCCTTAGTTACATAGAAAGCTCAAAGCCAACCTGAACTACCTGAGACTCTGTCTAAAAATAACAGTAAGAATAAATTTTGCAAAAAAATCATAATCTAAGTCGATGCCCTAGTTACACATGATGTGCAATCACAAGACAAGATTTGTGCTGGGGTTTCCTTAAATGTCCTTCTAGGACTCAAACAAAGCTAGGAGTCAAAAGGTATTAAAGGGCCAGCAAGATGGCTCCATAAATAAAGATGATTGCTGTCAAGTCTCACAACCTAAAGTTAATCCCTGCGATCCACATGGTGGAGCGGGAGAAACAACCGCCACAAGCTGTTCTCTGACTTCCATATGTTCCAGGGTACGAGCTTTCCCAAATACTTAAATTTGCCTGTGTGTGCGCGCGCGCGCACGCACGCACACACGCACACACACACGTATTTGTGCATGTACACACATTTTTAATTTAAATGTAAAAAAATTAAAATATTCTGTAATAGTACATTCCATAAAAACAAAACCAAACAAGCCTTTTTTTGAGGGGGGGGAGGGGGTGTGTAGAGGTGGGAGTGGGAGGGGCTACTATGTAAATTGGCTGCCCTAGAACTCACCTTCCAGACCGGACTTGCCTTGAGCTCACAGAGATTGGCCTGCCCTCCACCTCTGCAGGACTGTGGTTCACGGAGTGCACCACCATACTGGCACTCCACGGGGGGTGGGGGAGGGGGAGAAATTAAGTAATATTTGTACTTCCTTTGGAAATCAGTCTGTGTACAGTCCTGTTCATGCCTTTCCACCTCATATCTGAGTACTGGCTCTGTCTTGACCAAGCTGTCTGTGCACAGATCCACAGCCCAAAGGAGGTCACCTGCTGCCAGACCTCTACAGTGCTGGCAGGACAGTGTCATCACTGGGGCGGGCTTAAGCCAGAGAAGGGCATCTTGAGTGTCAGGCGGGAACAGTAAAGGTGCCCTGTATTAAGACGGAAGCTTGGAATCCATCTATTTAAGATTAATCACTATTCCCGTAGTTAAGCTGTTGTCATGTCGAGGTTTCCTCGAGTAGAAAATAATCTACACTTCCAGCTAAGTTATTCATGGTCCAGTTTATTCTCAGAATACTATAATAGGCTTTGTGGAGATAAGTTTTATAATAGGGATTTAATGGAGTGAGAAGGAGCAAGTCCCAGGCCTTGGAGCATGAGCATTTGTACAGAGCACCTCCCCATCCCCTAGTCTGCACCCCAAAGGATTCTCAGCCTTCTTTAGGTTCTAATTTTCACAAAAGAATCAGATGCACGGGCACAGCAGTCGCTTCCTAATGGGGTAGGGACTTGCCATTTCTAGAGCTGGGGAAACAGCAAACAGGGATGAGGGTGGAACTCAGCAGGGGTCAAGGAAGAACCAGCCCTTCAGTGCCTCTTCCAGTGAGTGGTCCAGGTCCCTGCTCTGCAGGGAAAGGGAAATTTGAGTGGTGCTTTTTGAACAAAAAAGTGTGTGTGTGTGTGTGTGTGTGTGTGTGTGTGTGAGAGAGAGAGAGAGAGAGAGAGAGAGAGAGAGAGAGATCCCAAGGGTCTATAGACACCAGCTTTATTTTCCAAGCTTTAGATAGTTTAAACTATTGACTATGTATAACTCTGCTGTGACGACACTGTTACATCTTGTCAATTTTTTCTTTTCTTTTCTTTTTTTTTAAACCTCTGTGTGAGGTTACTTTCCTTATTTACAAATTTTCTCTACTTTGTATCCAGATGGAGCCTATTAGTCATTTGCTTTACAAAGTAGCAAGGGACTTGAGCCAAACAATTCATTGTCAATCCCCAGGCTTGATTTGCCCTGAGAAGGTGTGAAAAATCCCTCCTTTAAAACCTTTCAAAACAGGTACACACTTTACTACTTAACAAGGTTACAAGTTCTTTATTTAATATTGAATTTGAATAATAATCCGTTTCCGCCACATGATAACCATGTTGTATCTAGTTTGTTGCAGCGCTGTCTACCCTATTTGCATATTTGTAGCAAAGCATATAAAAGAGTAAAGATGCTTGGTTTATTATTTACATAAAACTGATTTTGGTCAGGTGGGGATTCTGAATCAGATACTTAACACTTCTAACTTTCGAAAGCAGAGCCCCTTGCTTTGCTGCACGCATTTTAACAATGGCTGACAACGCCTCTCCCTGGCCTTCCAAAATGTTTATGCTGTCCCCAGTAACACTCCGCAAATGCTGTCGTCTCTGGCTAAATCCTTACTTAGGGTGCATGCTATGCCTCTGTGAGACAGGGTCAGGAGGTCAGAATTGATTTTGGAGGCCACCTGGAGAGTCTAGGCCATGAACTGACTCAAAAAATTTCTATCAGAGCCGGAATAGCCCACCTCCCACGGTCGGATCTGGCCTGACACTCCAACCGCAGGACCAGCATCGCAGACGGGCTTGGGGAGAGGGCAGAGTTGTCGACCCCGAGAGCTGACCTCTTCAAACTTCAGGAGAATTTTTTTGGCAGTTACCACGGTGACTGGGTACTCTAAAGGCTTATCCTTCTTACTGAATGGAGGAGAAAAAAAAATAGGAAAAAATATGTTAAAACCTACCTCATAGAAATGTGTATCACAATTAAATTTTTTTTTGTTTTTGTTTTTTTTTTAGGAATGAGGATGGCCTTGACTTGTTTATTCTTTGGATATTAATAAAGTCCTAAAAGATGCTCTTTCAAACTACAAAATTTGATGTTTGAAGCAGATCTGCTTTCATGTTTGTTGTGTGCCTGTCTTTTTCTCCTCTCTCTCTCTCTCTCTCTCTCTCTCTCTCTCTTTTCGGTGTGTGTCCGGGGGACCACATTACTGACAGCATATGAACGAGGCATGAGCAAACCTTTCAAACAATGCAATTGTATTGGAAATTCTAATATCGCCCCACTCCTCTAAGAGAATAATTAATCAGCTATTGGAGGGAAGTTTCTAAATAAACATTTTTACTTTAAAAACAGGCTCAAGGTACTTCTTCCCCTTAAGTGGATATTCTCCATTGTGCCTCCCTTGAAATAATAAACATAGGGGAAAAAGCCAAGAACAATTGTCATTACATATTTTACCCACAAATGACGTCACAAAAATAGTATATATGTTAAGAACAATACTCATGGCTGGAGAGATGATTCAGCCAATTAAGACCCCTGGTCACTCTTCCAGAGGACCAAGGTTCAATTCCTAATATCTACACAGCACCTCACACCTGTCTATATCAAGTCTCAGGGGAACCAATGCCCTCTTGTGAGGGCATTGCACATGGCATACAGACATATATGCAGACAAAACACCTAGACACACTCACACAACAGCAACAACAACAACACAACCACTCTAGAAATATTTTATACATAACAAAGAATACCCAGAGGAAAAAATACTTTATTTAATATCAGTTTAATATCAGAACACTGAAACTTAAAATTTGAAATACTCACCAAAGCTGGGTGGCGGTAGCACACACCCTTAATCGCAGCACCTGGAAAGCAGATGCAGGCATTTCTCTGTGAGTTCGAGGCCAGCTTGGTCTACATAGTGAATTCCAGGACAGTCAGGGCTACACAGAGAAACCCTGTCTGAGAAACAAAACAAAACAAAACAAAACAAAACAAAACAAAACCCAAACAACAAGGGGCTGGAGCGATGGTTCAGGGGTTAAGAGCACTGACTACTCTTCCAGAGGACCAGGGTTCAATTCCCAGCACCCACATGGCAGCTCATAGCTGTCTGTAACTCCAAGATCTGAGACCCTCACACAGACGCCTGTATATACAGGCAAAATACCAGTGCACATAAAATAAAAATAAATAAATTTAAAAAAAAACCAAACTACAAAAACCCCAACCCACCAAATGTTCTTTCATGCTCATTCCAAATATGAACTTGACATAAAGTCCTGGCCAATGCAGGACTTCCACAGCCTGTTTCATCCCATTCCGCAACCGCTACTGGACTTCTGGTCACAGGTTATTACATCACATTCCTTAAAATAGCTCCCGGATGTAACATGAAAGTAAAGAAGAACCATAGTAAGTGTGTTTGTTTGTTTCTAACTAGGAAGGCTAAGGAGGAGACTCTCTAGTGGAGGGGTTGTTTGACACCGGGAAGGCCCTGGGTTTGAGTTTCAGCCCTAGGAAACATTAGCAATGACAAACCAGTTAGGGAGCTGAACAAGTATTTTGTGACCTGAAATCACCGGCTTTCGATGCTGTTGTTGCTCTGACGCACCCTGAGTTTTCTCATCTACCTCATGGGAAGAATCTGCCCCCCCCGCCCCGCACATGGGTGTTTGCTATGTGCCCACTCACGTATACCAGTGTTTAGGAGCACTTCTGCACACTGGAGAAGGGAGAGCTGCCTGGCATCTAAGAAAGCATTGGCTATATAATGAACAATGTCTTTGGTCTAAATACCATTTTTTTGTTCTGCTGGAAATGACAGCACCTACACTTCCAGATCAAAGCCACCCTCAGCTACATTATGAGTTCAAGGCCCGGCATGGAGTGTAGGAGGGCCTGTTTCATAAAACAAATACAGAAGTAAATATGTATTTTTTTTCATATGGATTCTAAGCCCGTCTCCCTCCTGCCAAAAAAAAAAAAAAATTAGAGAAATGTAGTAACTGTCACAGGAAAAATGATACAGAAGTGGCAGGACAGTGTTCTAAGCTGCTCTTGAGTGTGCATTCTGCTGTGACCTATTTTTACTGTTTCATAATCACCACTGGCTTCCTGGAATAGAATGAACATGAATCTATGTATTCAGTAATTCGTCTTTTCTCCCCCCCCCCTTTGGTGTTTGAAACAGTCTCTCTATTTTGTGGCCCTGACTGTCCTGTTACTTGATGTAGACCAGGTTGGCTTCCAAATCCTGAGTGCTGGGGTCAAAGGTGTGCGCCACCACACCCAGCTGGGTGTTTGTGTGGCCCAGGAGGACCTTAGTCTTGAGAGTCTCCTGCCTCAGCCTCTCTATGGCTGGGACTACAGGCATGTATCACTGATTAATTCATCTCAATTTTAAAAGGAAAAAGAGTATAATTCAGGAATCATTTCCTTTCTTGTCTTTTTCTCAGAACTAGCTCCAGAAGGAAATACTTCAGATGCCCCTCCGGCTGACCTTTAGTGGACCTTGCTGTGTTACCAAACACAAGTTGCTAGGATCTTCCAGAGAGTAGCTTCTCCACTGAGTGAGTCACTAACACAGTGGTGCCACCCATTGTCTGAGATGAACTCACATGGTCTTTCCAGCTCAGGGACCTCCTGGCAAGCTTCTCACAGGACCCAGGGCTAACAAAACAGGAGGAGCAGCAAACAGGAAAGGAGGCCATTCTTAGGTTTGCAAGGGATGTCTGCACTCTCAAACCAAAGGAACCAGCCATTTTCTTTTAAATGGGTCTTGGGAATTCCTAAGTTTGATCTGAAAAAGAAAAAAAAATCAAATGTAAGTCCTATATCCCCAAGACCCTTCAATTAGCTTCTTCAATTTTAAAATTCCCCTCTCAGAAGAAAACAAGTAGTTTTCCATGCCTTTATTCTCACCACTTGGGAGACAAAGAATGGCGGGCCCAGACCTCTGAGTTCGAGACCAGCCTAGTCAACAGACTGAGTTATGGGACAACCAGGGCTACACAGAGAAACGTTGTCCCAAAAATAAAAGAAAAGAAAAGAAAAGAAAAAAAGCCCCCCCCCCCAAAAAAACCAACCAGGCAACCAAACAAAAAACTATTGGTTATTCATTTTCCTTCCTTCTGGGATGAACTGAAACTTGTAGCCTTGAACTTCAGAATCTTCTGCTTCCACTTCTCAAGTACTAGTTTATTCTGTGCTGGAGATCCAGCCCAGGACTTCCTGCACTCTAGAAAGGCACTTTACCAGGTTGGAGAGATGGCTCAGTGGTTAAGAGCACTGACTGTTCTTCCAGAGGACCCAGGTTCAATAACCAGCACCCACATGGTAGCTCACAACTGTCTGTAATGCCAAGGTCTGGCACCCTCACACAGACCTACATGTAGACAAAATACCAATTTAAATGAAACAAAGTAAGTAAATTATTTTAAAAAAAAGAAAGAAAGAAAGAAAGAAAGAAAGAAAGAAAGAAAGAAAGAAAGAAAGACAGACAGAAAAAGAAAGCATTTTACGAACTGAGCTGCACCCCAGTTCTCATTTTTCGGTTTTGTGTATAAACATTTGGGCAATGATACAGATATTTTGCTCAGTAGCCAGCTGAGTTGAACGTTCTCTGATGGTAACAACCCATCCCGTCAGTGCTGTAAAACCTGCAGACACGTTTATAGGCACAAAGCCTGAACTCCAGAGGCCCCACTGGCTCGAATCCACCCAGACCCAGCTAGGCCCTCCCTGCCTGCTCAGCATCATCACAGGTCAGGAAATGTCAACACCGCAACAACAACAGATATCTTGGAGCCCTGGAGTCCTTCAGGTACCAAATGTTCTGGAAAATAACCTGATCAGAGACCTCATGAAACCAGGTGTGAAATAACAAACTCCACCAAACTGCCTTGACCAGCTTCCAAACTCTCAGGAAGGGTACTGTATGGAACATAGCAAGGTCATGTTGCCGATCTATTCCTCTGGCTAATTTCCTTTCTTCAGTTGTTCTAGCCAGGAAGCATCGGACCTATGAATTTTCTCTAGTAGGGCCCAGTCTCCTTTCGGCTGGGTTTGTAATTAGATGTCAAGCAGGAGGCCCGTGGCCTCAGTTATCTCCCCTCCAAGTGACAGGAAGGACTGCCCAAATAGCTCCGAGCTATGAGATACAGGATGACCGCTCAGCCCCAAATGACTTCACTGTGCTGATTTAACGGTGCCCGAGTTGACGCCAGCTTCGCTGTCTTTCTTCGGGACTGAAGAAGCTTGAGAACAGAATGAAAAAAAAAAAGCCTGTAGGCAAACGCGGGGCTACGGCCCATAGCGGGCTGCCACTTGTGGATGCTTTCTGTCACTCTCTGTGGAGCCGTCCTAAATTTCTCTTAGTCGTTGCTTTTGGGGGGCTAATTTCTCTCTCTCTTTTGTCTAACTTTTGGGAAAATAATCATGATTTCATTCTGAAAAGTTTCCAGGGGGCCCGAGAAGAGAAATGAGTTAGGGAAAAGACACTTTCTCATTCATTTTCCTCCTGCCTCCTTGTCCCCCTGCTGGGATCACAGGTGTGCACCACCATGCTCGGCAGGTCTGGGGTGTAGCATGTGAGGTCCTGGGTTCAGTCCTTCCCTGCATAAATCAGGCATGGCTACACAAGCCTATGATGCCAGTCCTCAGGAGGTGGGGGTGGGAGGTTCAGAAGTCTAAGGCTGTTCTCAGCCAAGTAGTGAGTTCTAGGCCAGCCTAGGTTACATGAGGCTGTCTCAACATCAAATGGAAACAAGAGAGTTCAGAACTGAACAGAGAGAAAAAAGTGGGCAAGGGCACAAGGGGTGGAGAAGGAACGGAAATGTCCCTTTTGGGCTTGTCCCTGATGCGACTGTAGTGAGCTGGATGGCTTTCAGCTACAAATATAAGCAGATCTGCATGGTGGGGAGGGGCAGACAGCAGCCCATCTGCGAGGCTGCAGCTTTCCAGTTGTGCTGAGATCAGCACGGACCATGGGGTACCTGCCAGCTCTCCTCCTGCATCCGATACTCCTGCTTGCTCTTTTTCCTCCCGACAGCGCTGCTCTCTCCGCCACCTGCATTGATGCTTTCTAAACATACAGGTCTGTGTCTCCAGTATCCTACTGTTTTTCTTGACCCAGGTTCTTTTGTTTGAAATCCAGGTGTCTTGGGAATCACTGGACTTCAACTGACACCAATGCACTTGCCTGTTCCTTACCTTAGAGAAAATAATGCACAAGACGGACGCGGCATATCTCCCTGTGGATACGCTGGGAAAGTGTGTGTACATCATGCTATCTAAGAAGAGGAGTCTGACGTTCGCTCTCCTGCATAAAGTGCCTCTGTCATGGCCTCCTCCACCTAGCTCACACTGCTAACGGCTGCCCCTTTTGTGCTCACACTCACAGATCTAGAGGTAACTTAATTTATTTTTTATATATTTTATTTATTTATTCTTCTCTCATGTATTAGATCCCGATTGCAGTTCCCCCTCTCTCCTCTCCTCCCAGCCCCTACCCCCGCCACCTCCAATCTCTCACAGACCCACTCCTTCATTTCACTCCCAGAGATAGCAACCAAACATGGCACAAGTTACAGTAAGACTTGGCACATTCCTCATATCAAGGCTGGATGAGACAACCCAGTAGGAGGAAAGTATCCCAAAAGCAGGCAAAAGAATCAGGGACACCCCCACTCCCAATGTTAGGAGACCCACAAGAACACCCAGCTACATAACCATTTTATATATGCAAGGGACCTAGCACAGATCTATTTTGGTCCATGATTAACACACCTACAATGACCTACATATGCATTTGGGGTTTCTTAGAAAAAAATCTTTATTTTATTTATTTATTCTCAAGACAGGGTTTCTCTGTAGCCCTGGCTGTCCTGGAACTAGTTTGGTAGACCAGGCTGGCCTTGAACTCACAGAGATCTACTTGCCTCTGCCTTCCAAGTGTTGGGTAGGATTAAAGGCATGCGCCATCACACCCAGCTTTATTTTTATTTTCATTTGTGTATGTGTATGCACACATAGACACATAGACACATGTGAATACTGGTGCCCCACTAAGGGTGGAGGGCATCAGTTTCTCAGGAGCTAGAGTTACCGGCAGTTGTAAACTGCCTGACATGAGTACTGGGAACTGCACTCAGGTCCTCTTGCAAGAACAGCAAGTGTTCTTAACTGCTGAGCCATATCTCTATCCCCTTAATGCACACAGAATATAAGATACTTCTTTCTTTCAAGGTGATGCATCCAATTACGAATTGTAAGGATTCAAATTAAACCTCAGCCCCATCCCTTCTCTGAGGGCCGAGGTAGCTGAAAAAGTTCAGATTCAAAATCGAATTCCCCGTTGCACTTTCTCAGGTTTGAATTTCGATCTTGGCACTTTGATTGCCGCACGGCACTGGAATTAAGAATCACCTTGCTAAACTGGATTCTCTTCTCGCTTCTGCGGCGCTATGAACTACATTGTCATAAAATCAATAGGAAAACCTCAGCTGTCACGGATCCTAAGCAACTCCTAGCCACAGAAATAACACGAACTGGCATTTCCGAGTTGGAAAATGTGCTGTTTGGATGACAAGAGCAGATCTACCCGAACGGCTTTAAATTTCCTGATCTCTGTGAGTGCAGAGGCCTGCCCCCACTGAGAGACTGAGATCCTGGAATCCGCTTTTCTCCTGGTTAGAGACCAGGTGTTCCCTTTCTTCTTTCAGAAACAACCACAGGGGCCAGCACAGCACATGAGATGTAGGACTCAAAGCCATTTCTAAGCTCTTCTAAGTTGGCTTTCATAGAATTTATAACAGGATTTCAAATTAGGTATTTTTTTTTCCTCTCCTGAACCAATGCAAAATTCAGATTTGGATTTAAAAGTAGAGTTCAGAAACTAAGTGCTGAACAGTTTCAAAGCCTGTCTGCCTGGCCACTGTCAGGACACACCACACCACAGCATCTAAAGCCTGCAACTCCAGAAACAAGGGGGCACCGCCGGGCACATTTCTGATTGTAAACAACATAACAACTACCAATTGCAGTTGCCCCAACTTCACCATCTCGGGGGACAATGCCCAGCCTTGCTACACAGTCTGCTACACACATGCTAGCATGCCATTCAGAGGAGCGAAGAGGAGCCCATGACCAGACCTACTCTGTTTTTATTTGTGACCCTGCTTCCCGCTCAGCTCAGGGACTTGTTTCATGGGAGCTCATTTCAAAACCTGTTACTGGATGCACCTACCCTGGAGTTCAACCAGCTTGGAGACTTTGATTATGCAGGAAACAGGTTAACTCATCCCAAAACCTTGCTAAGAAGGCATATGACCACGGCACACTACAAATCGTTTACACACTATAGGTAAAAATAGTCTCTGGTGAATCTGTCAGAGAGTCTGTGCAGCAAATAGCACAGTTGCCCAGTGCCTGGATCAAACTATCCATGTAAGCAAGTAAGTAAATACATACATAAGAAAGCTAGAGGAAGGCTGGCCGTGGTGGCGCTCGCCTTTAACCCCAGCACTTGGAAGCAGAGGCAGGTGGATTTCGGTGAGATCAAGGCCAGTCAGGACAACACAGAGATACTCTGTCTCGAACGCGCTCCCCGACACAAAAGATAAAAGCTAGAGGGAGATCAGACAGTAGTAAGCACAGCGACACAAAACATCTTATAGTTTTATAGCGTGGACGTGTGACACTTGTCACTTCTAACCCACGGCTGTGGGAGTCTGTATTTCCTCCATCGGCCATCATTAAGATCTTTGGTCGGAGAACGATGCTCTCTACCTCTAATTTGCT